AGCCCTCTGTGAGTATGTCTGTGCTCCTAAGAATGGTCAGAGACCATCCACATCTCGCCACCGTAACAGCTGTCTTCTGGACAGCTTTTTTCACTCTTTATCACTTCGGGGTTCAGCGAATATCTGAGGTTATGACCATGAGAGAAGTATTTTTATAACCTTCTGTGCCTTTTCTGAACTCTAAAATGGTGCTTTCCTCTGAGGAAAGTATCTATACCAAAATAACTTACATAATCTCTCAGTTTAATATTTTACAAACAGTTTCAACAACCACTTATGAAATATGACTTCTCAGGCATTGAGTAGCTGTTTTCATGTATCAATACGATGAAGTTCTTCTAAATGCAGTGGAATTTTAGAGGGATGCTTATAAGTGTTTTCTGCCTTAATCTGACCTTCATTAAAAAAACAAAAAAAAACCTATGTATAAAATAATTGAATGTACCTCCATTGAGTAACTTATTTGCTTATGTTTTATAAGACTGTGACCCCATCTTCTAAAAGTCCCTCCCATTTTAATGAAAACTCATTTTTCAACATCTGTATCAATATCAATGTCAGTTTCATGAGTGTTCTTAAGAAGTGGAATACAAATGACTGAAGAATACGGTGGCATTTTTGGAAGGAAAGTTTCATCTCCTTAGGACACACAGGCTGCCTGAGGTTCTCGGGAGAGTCAGGTACCCAGCGTCCTTCTCACAGGACTAAGGGAAGGGATATGGGCTGCAGAAACAGTTCACTCCTGTCCCACCCCTGGAAATACTATGCTATCCCGTTATGAACTTTAACCTGGTGTTGAGGTAGGGAGGCTAACTTTTAGGCAAAGCATTCCCTGTGCTTCCCTTATTCTGTTTTTCTATAAACACTTTAGGCTAAACGGTGGGACTAGGCACCAAGAGGGAGCTGATATCTGCCTTTCCTATGATTAGGAAGGGAATTTTTTTTTTTTTAGACAACCAAGTGAAACTCCAAGTAATCAGGTACATGAAGCCTCTAAGGCAAATGCCTTATGATTCAGCAGTGGAGGAAAACAACAAGGTATTCAGTCAGTGACAAGGATAGGAAATATTTGAGTCAGCTGCTGGGTGTGTAATGAAAGAGAAGACCAAATATATAATAATTTTAATCAAAACAAAAAAATTTCAAGTGACTTTCTGTTTAGTCTAGGACTAAATATGACAGGTAGACTGTTTTGCACTTCCAAGAAGCAAGGAATAATTTTTATATTTTAAAGACCTCATTTTTTAAAATGAAGGAAAATGGACAACAGAGGTTATATATAGCATATATATTAAGTATGTGCATTCTTATGTCATTCATACCCCAAGAAAGATAAAACATGAAAGAATCTAAGTGACTTTTTGAAGACAACAAATTGAAGACCACCAACTGGGATTGCATACTTATTGAAAAATTGCCCATAAAAGAAGATGGAAAAGTGAAAGTGCAAATCGCTCAGTCATATCCGACTCTTTGTGACCCCATGGACTACACAGTCTATGGAATTCTCCAGGCCAGAATACTAGAGTGAGTAGCCTTTCCCTTCTCTAGGGGATCTTCCCAACCCAGGGATGGAACCCAGGTCTTCTGCACTGCAGGCAGATTCTTTACCAGCTAAGCCACAAGGGAAGCCCAAAAGAAAGTAGAAATGTCACTAGAAGAGAAAACAGACTGCTCGTTCTGAGTCAGAAAAGCACATATAAAATTTATGAATTTTACATTAAACATTTATTGAGCTCTCAATAACCATTGAATAGTGCTAACTGTTGTGGAATCTCAAAGAACAAGGAATAGCTCAATGCTAGTAAAATTATGCTCACATATTTAGTGGTAACAAAGAGGTAAGCATAGGGGACTAGAGGGGCAAAAAATAGAAGCCAATAACTTGCACAATGCAGTTCCAGGAAAGTTTTTTGCTAGAAGTGACACTAAGCCAAGACTTGAAAAACCTACAAGTATCAGTATCAGTCTAACAAAGGGAAGAACAGGGGTGGGAAGCTGGGAATGAACAGAGTTGTATCAGGAAGCAGACTCCTTGCAAACTTGTCCATAATTCTGTTTTGATTTGTGGAAAGTGAATGCTCCCTTTGGTGGAAGCACTCTGCAGAGCTGTTTCACAGGTCGCATTCCTTTGTAAACATGAACATCCTCATCACACGAGTGCACTGTGGGGTCAAAGATCCCAGGCATTTCAGGTCCTATTGCTGTGCTTAGTTGCTCAGTTATGTCCATCTCTTTGTGACCCCAGGACAGCAGCCATCCAGGCTCCTCTGTCCATGGGGATTCTCCAGGCAAGAACACTGGAGTGAGTTGCCTTGCCCTCCACCAGGGGATCTTTCCAACCCAGGGATCGAACCCAGGTCTCCTGCATTGCAGGTGGATTCTTTTCTAGCTGAGACACCAGGGAAGCCTGAAGTTGATATTATAATTTTGGATTTTAGGTATAGACAGAATCCTCACTATTCAGGTATTGCTAATTAGTATTAAGTCATTAGTTTTAACTGTAAATGTTAATTTCAAAGGATATTTTCCATACTTATAGATAATATAAAATGGACATCACCCCCAAAAACATGGATGAAGAAACACAAAATCGGAGAAAAGGACATATATGCCAGACAAACAGTCATGTGAAGACTTGCCCCATCACCCTGCCAGGCAGATAGAAAGTGCTCGGCAATTACTATTCACTTTTTCGGTTTTGTTTCTTTTTTTATATCTATTTGGTAAATTTTTAATTATGAAATAATTCTGTTCTTAAAAAAAGAGATGACAAAATAGTGCAGCCAGTTCCCAGATAGTCTTAACTTAGCTCTTCTTAATGGTAGCAACCTGTGTAATCATACAGGAATTAATAAAACAAGGGAATTGGCACTGTGTGCAAATAATAGAGATTTTTTTCATGTGGGATCTTTTTTTTTTTTTAATCTTTTTTAAAAAGATTTTTTTTTAATCTTTTATTTTTTAATTGGAGGATTATGGCTTTACAATAGTCTGTTTGTTTCTGTCTAAAATAGCATGAATCAATCATAATTATGTATATATCCCCACCTTTTGAGCATCCCTCCCCTCTCCCATCCCACCCATCACAGAGCACCAGGCTGGACTCCCTGTGTTCTATAGCAGCTTCGCACCAGTTATCTGAATTACACATAATGGTGGGCGTCCCTGATGGCTGAATTATACATGACTGTGGGCCTCCCTGATAGTTCAGATGGTAAAGAATCTGCCTGTAAAGCAAGAGACCCAGGTTCAATCCCTGGGGTGGGAAGATTCCCTGGAGAAGGAAATGGCAACCCACTCCAGTATTCTTGCCTGGAGAATTCAACGGACAGAGGAATATGGCAGACTACAGTCCATGGGATTGCCAAGAATCGGACACAACTGAGTAACTAACACACACAACATTGTAATGTATATATGTAGCACATCTTCTTTATCAGTTCATCTACTGATGAACATCCAAGTTGCTTCCATGTCTTGACTATTGTAAACAGTGCTGCAATACTGATACCAGGACAGGTCTGAGTTATGGCCAGACTAGGCAGGCAGTGAGAGTGTCTCCACCTCTGCCTGTTGAGTCCCGTATGCTCTCTGGGTGCCCCCCTGCCCGCAGTCAGCAGCAGGGACAAATAGTGGCTCCTGACTCACTTTCCAGGTGCCCAGGAACTGAGCTTACACACTGCACTGGAGGACCTCTCTCTCTGTGAGTTCCCAGAAACAGAGAGAGGAGAGTGGAGCATCTCTGGCTTGGAGGGTCTCAGAGGGCTGAAGGATTCACTGAAAAAAAGAATCAAATAAGGTTAAAATAAATTAATTTAAATATAGAATTCATTTGGAGTTTCACAGTTTTCCACTGATGCCACTTTTCTGTTGCAGGATCCAATTCAAATCACTACTTGAAAAGGAATTGTCATGTGTTCTTGGTCTCCAGCCTGTGTCTCATCCTGTCTCCCCTTCTCCTTCATGACCTGGGAAGTACAAACAACTGAGGTTAAATTCTTTCAGGATTTTCTTTTCCTTGTCATAATTTCTTTGCCCAGTATTGCATCAGGTAACTCGTATATGTTGTATTTATCCAACACTGTGTTCTATCAGAGTGCAAATGGAGGGAAGGTCAGGTATTGATGTAGAAATTTCAAGGTAATAGCAACACTGGAAAGCTATGTTACTTAGATGACAATTCTGATACCAAAAGCAAAATACATAAAATGAAATAACTCTTTGGTCACTGCAGTAAAAGCATTCAGATACAGTACACATGGCCTCCAGTTTGACATTTTATACAAATGTCATTAATTTGCATTTAACAGAAACCTACACTTCAAGCAACTTGTGAGCTCATTCAAACCTGTGAGTAGTGAAGAATTACTACTCAGGAGAAAAAGAATACTATCAAATCCACAAAATCTTACGGCCCAGATGATCCTTTCTAATTCTATAGCTAAATACATTTCAAAATATAAGGGAAAAAATTTAAATTAATTGAAAAAACAGAGATGAGAACATGCAAAGAGTTAAACATATGGACTCTAGTACAAACTTATTTCAGAAAAACCTGAATTTGAGGATACCTATAATGAACACCAAAAGAGCTGACAATTCCAGAGTTTTGATCCATCGTTGTCAAGTCGAAGAAGAAAATGACTATTCATTGCATAGATTGGATTTTTTTTACCCGGTAGCCATGGCCTCATAATTTCATATAGGTTTTCTCAGTTCAGTGTCACTTGACTTTGTGAGGAGCTTGAGAAGTACAAGTCAGTGATGAGAAACCATACATCATTACCTACATTCATTCTCCTGGGACTAACAGATGATCCTCCAATGCAGGTTCTGATTTTTATATTTCTATTTGCTTCCTACACATTGAGTGTCACTGGGAACCTGACCATCATTATACTCACTTTAGTAGATTCTCGCCTTAAAACTGCCATGTACTTTTTCCTCAAAAACTTCTCCTTTTTAGAAACTTTATTCACCACGGTCAGCATTCCCAGATTCTTATACAGCTTGTCAACTGGGGACAGGACTATTTCTTATAATGCTTGTTTTAGTCAAATATTTTTTATCTTCATTTTTGCAGCAACAGAGTTTTTTCTCCTAGCCATCATGTCCTATGACCGCTATGTGGCCATCTGCAAACCTTTACATTATGCCATCATCATGAACAGTAGAGTCTGTGGAAGACTTGTTATTTGCTGTTGGATAGCAGGTTGTCTGGTCATATTTCCACCAGCTTCCCTGGGCTTACAGCTGGAATTCTGTGACTCTAATATCATTGATCATTTTCTCTGTGATGCTTTTCCTGTGCTAAAAATCTCTTGTTCAGACACATGGTTCTTAGAACAGATGGTTTTTACTGTTGCTGTGTTGACTGTCATTGGGACATTTCTGTGTGTAGCTCTGTCCTATACATACATCATCAAGACCATCATAAAGTTGCCTTCGGCTCAGCAAAAAATGAAGGCCTTTTCTACCTGTTCTTCTCACCTGATTGTGGTTTCTATCACCTATGGAAGCTGTATCTTCATCTACGTCAAACCTTCAGCAAAGGATGAAGTGGCAATTAACAAAGGAGTGTTAGTGCTCACGACTTCAGTTGCTCCCATGTTAAACCCATTTATTTATAGCTTGAGGAACAAACAAGTGAAACAAGCTTTTACAGACTTAATCAAAAGACTTTCATTGATTTCAAGGAAGTAAAGGAATGTTAAAATGAAGCATAAAATCATAATATAAATTTTAAAAGATCATTGAGACTTGAAGTCACAATCTTCATCTAAACTGTTGTATTCTGGTCTATTTTCTATTTGTATTAGCATGCTTATATCACTGTTACTATTAAATCCTGGATTTGAAATCACATTTTAAATATTTGATATAAACAAGCTATGTCCACTCCTGTTGAAAATAAACTTTATCTAAGATAATATCTCAAATCAAAAGAACATGATATTATATTTCCATGAGAAGGGTCTTTCCTGAATTCTAACCTGCCTCTGACCAATAAAACAACTATTATATCCTATGGGGAAAAAATTGAATCCTTGAACTCATAGGAAAATAATGGAGTAATAGTATCAATTGTCTTCTAAGCACAAATATCCAAAATATATAGATACATATATGATTTTATATATACATAAGATATATATACATATATTGGTCTTCTCAAGCAGGAGTTAGTTATTGAAGAAAAAGTGTAGGTTAGTTTGAGCAAAAATGAAAGGATTTTAATGTTGGAGAAGAAATATATGAGCTTAGACATGTGGAGATCCACATCTATCTTGTAAAAGAAACTTCAAAGCCCAAAATGTTAGGATTTAGATTCATTCAGTTCAGTTCAGTTCAGTCACTCAGTCGTGTCCAACTCTTAGCAACCCCATGAATCGCAGCACGCCAGGCCTCCCTGTCCATCACTAACTCCCGGAGTTTACTCAAATTCATGCCCATCAAGTTGGTGATGCCATCCAGCCATCTCATCCTCTGTCGTCCCCTTCTCCTCCTGCCCCCAATCCCTCTCAGCATCAGGGTCTGATGCATCAACTCTTCGCATGAGGTGGCCAAAGTACTGGTGTTTCAGCTTCAGCATCAGTCCTTCCAATGAACACCCAGGACTGATCACCTTTAGGATGAACTGGTTGGATCTCCTTGCAGTCTAAAGGACTCTCAAGAGTCTTCTCCAACACCACAGTTCAAAAGCATCAATTCTTCAGCACTCAACTTTCTTCACAGTCCAACTCTCACATCCGTGCATGACCACGGGAAAAACCATAGCCTTGACCAGATGGACTTTGTTGGCAAAGTCATGTCTCTTAGATTCATTAGATTCCCTCTAAATTAAAGAGCACAGTCTCTACATTAATTCATCACCCAGGTGGCAGTGGTCTGATAAAATCTGCTGAGACACTAAAACCATCTTTATGATGATGAAGTAAAACTAGTGCTGAAATACATAATAAAATTCACATCCTAAAGATAGCTAAATTAAGCCAAAAGGAGTAATCAAGTCTCAGCAAATTAAAATTCTATGCATCGAGAAAATTAAACCAGCAAAATACAAGGAAGCCCTGGGTTATAAACAAAGAAGGCAATATGAAGACATAATTGTCTCCACAAAGATTATCTTTACCATTAAAAAAATAGAAGGTACATCCTTTACTAGTATTTCTCAAATAAAGATGTTCTACATATGGTTATTTATTCCTTTCCATGTCTCACATTTCTCACCATAAACCTCAATGGTCCATACTGGAATGCTTTGACTTTCATTTCTAGGCCGTGTTCAAGGCATCACCTTAGACAAAGATTTCCTTTCCTGTGTCCCTCCCTAGCCCTCTGTGTGGAGGCCCTCATATATGTACCTGCCACACCCTGCAGTTAGTTATTATGCAATGACAAATCATCCCTAAATCAGTGGTTTAAAACTTGAGCTTGTGAATCAACTGTGGTTTTTGCCAGTTTGAGCAGACATCAGCTGATCTTAGTTGGCTAGGTTTATAGGACTGTCCTCACAGATGATTGAGTCTTGTCAAATAGGGCCTCATTGTCATACTTAGAAACTGAATGACTCCTTATTAAGATAAATGAACCCTCTTCCAGATGATGTTTGATCGCTTAGCTTACACTGATTCACATGGTAAGATCACGAGGCCTTATGGGAGAGAATGGAAGCAAGCAAGGCCTCTGGATTCCTAGGCACAAAGCCCCTTCTACCACACACGTTCTATTAGCCATGGAAGTCATAGGGCCAGTCAACATTCAAGGAAGGAAAATAGAATCACCTGTGCTTGGAAGGAACCAGGGGCACACATTGCAGAGGGTGTGGACAGCAAGAAAAGATGTAGCCATTTTTGGTACCTTTTTTCCACAGACACTCTTCTTCCCCTAAATGTCATGAATTTCCTATTTATTTTGTCTCAAGTCTACTATTCTGTGTTTAGTGTGTATATGAATCTATGGAAAGCCAATGTTAATTAGTGTTGCTTTGTTTTAAAAAAGCTGAATAAATCCCTTAGAAACACTAAAGAATAACATTTTACAGAGGAGACATCTATAATAACTCCAGGAATTCTGTGATCTGAAAGAAATTGATCACTTTTACTGTGATGTTTATCATATCTGGAAGATCTCTTGCTTAGACATGTGGCTGATAGAACAGATGGTTATTTTGTGCACTGTTCTGACCTTCGTCATCAATTCATGTGTGTAGTTCTTTCCTATATTTATAGCATCAACACTATTCTAAGATTTCCCTCTGCCCAACAAAGGAAGAAGGCCTTCTCCACTTGTTCTTCCCACATTATTGTTGTCTCCATCACTTATGCTAGCTGCACCTTAATTTATGTGAAATCTTCATCCAAGAATGCGGTAGTTATTAATAAAGTAATTTTTCTCCTTATCAGTTCCATTTCAGCAATGTCAAATCCCTTTATTTAACACACTGAGAAACAAGCAAGTAAAGCAAGCTTTCCTTAACCCAATTAGAAACACTGCACTCCTCTCAAAGACATAAAAGAAAAAGGAGTCAGTGAATCCAACTAATAGGAAGGATGAGTCAGCACAAAATCTGAATTCTGATACTATTTGTATCTACACAATTTATTCTCCAGTCACAATGGCTTTCTTGATTTCTCTTTAAACTTGCTTACTGTGAATCCTGACTGCCCCATCTATTGCTGTTCAATCGCTCAGTCATGTCCAGCTCTTTGTGAATCCATGGACTGTAGCCTGCCGGGCTCCACCACCCATGGGATGGACGGGACTTCCAATGAATATTCAGGACTGATTTCCTTTAGAATGGACTGGTTGGATCTCCTTGCAGTCCAAGGGACTCTCAAGAGTCTTCTCCAACACCAAAGTTCAAAACCATCAGTTCTTCAGCACTCAAATTTCTTTATAGTCCACCTCTCACGTTCATACATGACTACTGGAAAAACCATAGCATTGACTAGAAGGACCTTTGTTGACAAAGTGATGTGCTGTCTAGGTTGGTCATGAGTTATATTCCAAGGAGCTAAGCATCTTTTCATTTCATGGCTGCAGTCACCATCTGTAATAATTTTGGAGCCAACAAAATAACCTCTGTCACTCTTTCCATCGTTTCCCCATCTATTTTCCATGAAGTGATGGGACCAGATGCCATGATCTTAGTTTTCTGAATGTTAAGCTTTAAGCCAACTTTTTCACTCTCCTCTTTCACTTTCATCAAGAGGCTTTTTAGTTCTTCTTCACTTTCTGGCATAATCGTGGTGTCATCTGCATATCTGAGGTTATTGACACTTCTCCCGGCAATCTTGATTCCAGCATTTGCTTCATCCAGCCCAGCGTTTCTCATGATGTACTCTGCATATAAGTTAAATAAGCAGGGTGACAATATACAGCCTTGGCATACTCCTTTTCCTATTTGAAAAAAGTCTGTTGTTCCATGTCCAGTTCTAACTGTTGCTTCCTGACCTGCATGTAGGTTTCTCAAGAGGCAAGTCAGGTGGTCTGGTATTCCCATCTCTTTCAGAATTTTCCAGAGTTTGTTGTGATCTACACAGTCAAAGGCTTTGGTGTAGCCAATAAAGCAGAAATAGATGCTTTTCTGGAACTCACTTGCTTTTTTGATGATCCAATGGATGTTGGCAATTTGATCTCTGGTTCCTTTGCCTTTTCTACAACCAGTTTGAACATTTAGAAGTTCACAGTTCACGTATTATTGAAGCCTGGCTTGGAGAATTTTGAGCATTACTTTACCAGCATGTGAGATGAATGTAATTGTGTGGTAGTTTGAGCATTCTTTGGCATTGCCTTTCTTTGGGATTGGAATGAATACTGACCTTTTCCAGTCCTGTGGCCACTGCTGAGTTTTCCAAATTTGCTGGCATATTGAGTGCAGAACTTTCACAGCATCATCTTTCAGGATTTGAAATAGGTCAACTGGAATTCCATCACCTCCACTAACTTTGTTCTTAATGATGCTTCCTAAGGCCCACTTGACTTCACACTCCAGGACATCTGGCTCTAGGTGAGTGACCACAACATCGTGGTTATCTGGGTTATGAAGATCTTTTTTGTATAGTTCTTCTGTGTATTCTTGCCACCTCTTCTTAATATCTTCTGCTTCTGTTAGGTCCATACCATTTCTGTCCTTTATCGAACCCATCTTTGCATGAAATGTTCCCTTGGTATCTCTAATCTTCTTGAAGAGATCTCTAGTCTTTCCCGTTCTAGTGTTATCCTCTATTTCTCCTCACTGATCACTAAGGAAGGCTTTCTTATCTCTCCTTGCTATTCTCTGGAACTCTGCATTCAAATGGGTATATCTGTCCTTTTCTCCTTTGCTTTTCCCTTCTCTTATTTTCACAGCTGTTTGTAAGGCATCCTCAGACAGCCATTTTGCTTTTTTGCATTTCTTTCATATGCATATATAAATATACAAATGTAAATATTTTCCCATTGAAAACATAGACATAAAGCAACTGTGTTGTGTTTTCTTAGCACTTTGTTATCTGTGGGTTGAAGAGTCTCTTTGCATCAGAAAATTATAGTTTTGCACTTGGATTGTGTCTAATAAACTCATTGCATTCTATAGTTTCCAAAGACCCACTTCCCACTGCTGCCTCTGTCAGGTATTTTTCAAAATTTACTGCATATTATATTCATTAGTCATGTTTGAGCTTTAGTCAGTAAGGACTCTCTATTTATCCAAACATAAG